ATGGGATGTCTGCTTGCACAACCGCGCGTTATTTTGCCCCGGGGCAAACAGCCACGCTTCCCCCCATTTTCCTGCCCGTGTGACCGCAGCCAAAATTACAAATGAGATTCAGTGTAAATAAGTGCAAAGTTATGCATGCTGGGGGGGAATCTAACTCCATATATAAATATTGATGGAAATCTGAATTGGTTGTGATTACATAGCTCTTAAATCATACAGGACAATTCACAGAAAAATACCTGCTCAGTATGCAGCCGTACAAAAGGCACATGCAGTATCAGAAATTACTAGAAAAGATATAGAAAATACAACTATAATGATGTTAGACAAATCTGCCACATTTATAATGGCATGTACAGTTCTGATTGCCTCCATTCAAGGGGTATCATAGCACTGGAACAGCTACAGAAAAGAGCAATTAAAATTAACAGAGGATTAGAGAATCTTCCCTATGATGTTAAAACATTTACTTTTTAAACAACAGATTTCTAAAACTGTGACTGCTATGCAGACATTGGACAGATAAATTCTCCCTTTCTAATGAGTCAGGATGACTCAATGAAACTGGTTGGTAATAGAGTCAGAATGGGCAAAGATAGTACTATTTCAGGCAATGCATGGTTAACTTATGGAATTTACTACCAACTAATATGGCAATGACCGTTAGCCTTGATTCTTTAAAGTAAGTCAGACCTATTAGGGATAGTTGGTAGCCATGATAGCTAAATGAAACCTGCACTGAATCCCAGATACTGAAGACATACATGGAAAGGACCATTAGAAACCTCCTAGTGGTAAGAGTGGTTGAACAACAGAGAAAGTTACCTGGGGAGGTATGGTGTACTTCGTCACTGAAGGTCTCCAAGCAGAGGCTGGACAGCCATCTTTTGAGAATGCTCTTATCGCCTTGGATTTCCTGCAATGAAGAGGGGGTTGGACTAGATGACCTACAAGAACTCTTCCAGCTCTATGATACTATGATATTCAGTACTTGCTTGCAGGCTTCTCAAAGTCATCTGGCTATCTACTGCTGGAAGAAGATACTGGTCTAGTTGGATCCTTTCTCTGATCCAGCAGGGTTTTTCTCATGTTCTCCATTGTTGTGAGTGACACAGGAAAAAACCACATGAATGGAAGACATAATAGCGGCAGCAGATCTTATACAGGAGTTCATTTCAGAATACTTTGAAACAGAAGTCCAGTAAGACTGTCTTGGAAAAGGCATGAGCCCTCTGATGGTACATTTTAAAAACAGCATGGCAGAGCATGAAAATATCACCATGAAAAGAAAACAATCTTACCAAGCAGGGCCATGAGGATCCACCCATCATCGATTGTTTTCTGCAATTATTTCATCCCACTACAATGTGATCAGATTGGTATGTCATGACAAGTGCTCCAAAATGTATCATTTGAAACATGTTACGGCTGATTAATGATATTCGTATTAGTATGAACTTAAGCAAGCTTGCAGAAAAAACATGGAAGAAATGTGTCTCCAAGTCCTTTACCTTTCCCCCATTTCTATGAGCATAACATTAGGAGTTGATACACCAGAGACAGGCCTTTTTACCATTAACATCTCTTCAGTAATGCTCACCAGAAATCTTTCTGTTGATCACTAGTACAGAAAAGTGTGAGAGAACTTGGAACAGACCAAAAATATGTTTTTACAAGCATGACATAAAGAAAAATTAAAAGAACCAGATGTATTTAGTCTTGAGAACAGCGGTCTAATCTAAAATTATGAAAGCTACCAAAAACATGTAGAACAATCTTTCCTCAAAGGGTACATAGCAGTAAGATTCAGAACGCGTCAAGAAAACCTCCAACCATGGTCAGGCTGTAAAGAGCTACTTTGGGCACAGTAAAAAGTTTGTGTGCACACAGCAGAATTTTTACTAGAAAAGCAGCCTGCTATGCTACACTCCAGTCCTTTTGAGGTATACAAGTCCATAGTCTCCTTGCCCATACAATGCTGAGCACACAGCTCCTTGGTTTCCTTATACCAGGAAACTCTCTAGCATAACAAGCACCCTAGAAAAGTTGCTAAAAGAGGCAACACGTTTATCTGGTAGTCAAAGTAAGGTATTCACCTGGTCTATATTTACAGTGCATTCCTCAACAAAATTACAATGATTTTAAAAGGTATAAAACTCTGCTTAGGAGTGCACTATTAAATCTGAAATACAGAAGATGCTATAGATGCTCCTCCTTCACATAGTGTTACACAAAAGTCTTGTTTTAAGCCACCACATGGCAAGTGCAATATATAAACTATTTTAACTTTCATCATTCATACTTGTAAGGATTTCACATGGTTTGGGAATATGCATAGGAGCGTCACCTACTAAAAGTTGTCAGATCTTTAAAACAAAATTCTTATCAAGTTACAGCGGCTGTGAAGGCTACTACCTGTGCCCTGGATCCTTGTCCATCCTTGATTGCTGAAATCATGTAAGGACCATGTTAATGAGTCAATGATGTCTATCATAAATCAATCATTGACTCGCTGATTGAGACGGCAGCAGTACTTCTTGGTTCTTGGAGAACTCGTGCTCTGGACCCTTTTCAGTCCAGGCTATGGGAACAGAGATGGTGCTGGTGGCTTTAACTAATAATCTCTATATGAGTAGAAACAAAGGGCACATCTTTATGCCTGCATTTGTCTGCAGCTTTTGATACAGTAGACCATGCTATATTGTTGAAATATTGGGAAGCAGAAGTAGGTATCAGGGGACGTTCTTTGGATTGGTTTAAATCATTCCTTACCGACGGACTCCAAAGGGTTGCTGTTGGAGACTAGTCATCATCCATGTGGGATTCCACAGGGTGCAACCTTATCCCCCATGCTGTTCAATCTCTCTTGTAAAGCCATTAGTAGAAATCTTTATAGTTTTGGAAATGGATACCATTAATATGATGCCACCCAGCTCTCTATCTCTATCCAAATCTCCTGGAGATACAACAGAGGTCTTGAGCCACTGCCTGACTGCTGTGATTAAATGGCTGAGAGGGAAGAAATTAAAACTGAACCCAGAGACAAGTCAGAGGTGATACTGGTGGAGAAGCCTGATGTCTTGAAAGATACTGTGCTTCGCACTTTTGATAGGGTTCAGTTGACCCTTGCTGACTAAGTCAAGAGCACAGGGATTATACTGGGCTAAGCATTACTGCTGGAGAACCAAATTAATGCAGTCACCAAAAAAACCTTAAAACTTTTCTCCAACTTAGTTTAGCCTGGAAGATGGCCTCCTGCCTTGACTCAGGTGATCTGGCCATCTGGATCCATACCACAGTAACATCAAGGCTAGACATACTATGATGCATTCTATATAGGTCTCCCCTTCAAATGTTTGGAAACTCCAGTTAGTGCAGAATGACACAGCTTGGTTATTCTCAAGAACTAGGCAAAGAGTGCATATTACACTCATTGTGCAGTCACTCCACTGGCTGCCCATTAGTTACTCAGTTCAACTCTAGTTACTGGTCATCAAATACAAAGCTCTTCATAGCCCTGGAGCCTCATAACTGCAGAATCTCCTCTCCTCCTATGCCACAACTTCACTTATCTAAACAGGGCCTTGTACAGTTGCCACTATGCACATGGGCAAGATCAACAACTCCCTATAAAAGTTCATTATCTGTAGTGGCCCCCATCCTATGGAATGGCCTGCCTAAGGAGGTCAGGAAGGCTCCCACACTCTTAGATTTCCACAAACTATGTGAAACAGAACTGTCAGGAGGACACTTTTATGAAGGAATAGGGCTGCATTATAACAAAATGATTCAGTAAGCCATTCAGTAAGCCGTAAGAAAACAAGACTGTAGACTATACTCATATGAATTATCTGTTGCTGTATGTTTTTATCTTGCTATCACTGCGTTGGCTCAAGTGGTTAAGACGCTGAACTGCAGGCTGTGGAAGGTCGGTAGTTCAGCAGTTCGAGACCCAAGTTGCCGCATGACGGAGTGAGCTCCCATCTCTAGTTCCAGCTCCTGCCAACCTAGCAGTTCGAAAGCAAGAAATTGCAAGTAGATAAATAGGTACCACTTCGGTGGGAAGGTAACAGCGTTCCGTGCGCCTTGTGTTTAGTCATGCCGGCCACATGACCACGGAAACGTCTTTGGACAGCGCTGGCTCTTTGGCTTTGAAATGGAGATGAGCACCGCAACCCTAGAGTCAGATTCGACTGGCTTTCGAGCAAGGGAACCTTTACCTTTACCTATCACTGCATTATATTTCTACTTCTGTAACACCATTTCTTGCACTATTTAATATGTCATGTTTACTTTAATACATGCTTGTTTTTAGATTTCTGCACTACTAACTCTGTTGCATTGTTTATTAGATCTCCTAATTCTACTGATTGCACTGACTTACATTATGTACTCTGCCTTGAGTCTCAGTGAGAAAATTGGACTATACCAAACTTTTAAAAAATAACATGTTGCCTCACAGTGCTATCAGCTTTTAAAATTGTTAACAAATAATGGGTTTAATTCAGTCAGCTTTTTCACTCCATCTCACACACTTCCCCTCCTCACTACAGCTCTCATTGCTCATGGCTTTTGTACATGCAGGTCTCATGATCCACATGTAGATTTGGGGGCTTATCAAATGTGACCTCTTCTTTCTTTTTTGCATATATATATTTAATGCCAACTAAAAAGCTATAAAACTGAAGTAAGATTTCTACCTAGGCCTTTTAAACAGTAAGATTTGGTTTTAGTTTGAAAGAGATGTCTAAGATCTTACGGCCTTTTCAGATTATTTTTTTGCTGCACAATGAATTTGCTGTTACTCAGTTGCTGAAAAGTAATTTAGGAAAGCACAATACTCTCAACTGTCTTTCTGGTTCACTTGTATCAGGTCTGTAGCAGTAATTGCCTTAGAAGAGGTATCAGTAAAAATATACTTAATAGAAATATTTTCTAAATTTTCATCTTGGTGGAGACACAAATGCTTTAATAACTGAATTGTGGTGTGCCTCTTACAGGTTGGTTGTATGATTACACTCAGACGTATGCCTGCTCTTTCATTTTTGCTGGCATCTGTTTCCTTGTTTCTCCGATTTCACTCTTCTTCGAGCCTTTAGCCCAAAAATGGAGGCAAAAGAAAGAACTTGAACTAGATACTTAAGCAGACTAAGTTCTTCACCAAAGGGGAAAGCTTCCTGAGTCTATAATTAAATTTACTGACTTGTTCATTATGAGGAAAAGGAATAAATTAAAGAACTTTTACCCAACAAGACACCTTTCTGAAATTGTTGTCTCAACACCTCCGCATGAAAGTAACCTCTGCTTCAAGCCAAAACAATTATGTTCCTGAACATATAACTGAACTGCAAGATGGGACTGAGGACTCCCACCCACCTCCAGCTACCTTGTCTGTTGTCAGCCTCAGCACTCCATTTCAGTATTCTCAGGGGACAGCAAATAAGCACCCAAATCTTGAGAGGTACTTGATTTTGTTGTCCAAAAAATAAGAACAACCAACTCACCTTTGAAGATCCCAGGTCTGTATTCGGAAAGTGAAGACCAACACCATTTAAAGAGTAAACAGAAGGCCAAAGGAGGAACCACTAGTGAAGAAGATGGAAGAAATTTAAATTTCAAAGGAAAAAAACCAATTACACTTTAAAGGGTAATTTGCCAAGTACAAATCCACTGAGAATGAGGACAGAAGATAACACTTCTGGCTCAGGTCATACAGCTTCCTAAGACAGGACTACACAAACTTAGTAGGGCACAAAGTTTCCCCTTTCATCAATATTTTTGTGCATGGGGCCTTTTCACTGCAAAACATAGATACTGGTCTTTGGTTAATATGGGAAAATATGTGAGCAGAGGAGTACAAACACCTGTGAATAAAAGCTGTAAATGGATGCAAGGTGCTCATATAGAAAAGCACTTTCCTTGGCTAAACAGATTGTGCAAAAGCAAACAAAGAGAGAAAACCGTATCAATCAGCTTGTAGTTTTTATATTCTACAGGGTGGTTCACACAGAACACAGATAACCTGTGAGCACAATTAATCTCTCACGTACTTCATGTTACAAAATTGGTATTACATCTACCTGCAGACATGTATGATTACCATTATACACAAGTGTTTCGCTGCATGTACACATGCCAATCCCCTCTTCCCTATAAGCATACTGAGACCACATATGATAAGGCAGGATATTGCCTATTCAGGAAGCTTTGAGTTACGAAATTTGTAATCTGAAAACTGACCCATTCTATAGGACAGAGCATTTCCCCAGCTAACCGGGATAAAAATAAATATTGTGAAACTTGACCAGTGATGAGCAGATGGGGAAGTTCTTCCTATCCTCCCATCTGTTCGTCATTGGTATGAACTCTCTATGAACAAATCCCCAGATGATGGCACTTGGGACAAAGCAACAACAGACAACCAACTCTTGCATAATGTTGCCTTTCAAAGCCTTTTACCCAGAGAATGGATGCATGGGGGAAATGGCCATTTTCCAATTTACTTTATGCAGGCTTTAAAATTGCCAGATGCCTAGTGATATGAGATAGCTAAAAACAGCTCCATGGCCAAAGTTGAAGTCAAAGTGAAATCTGGTCAGGCGGCAGCCAAAGACACAGATCCATATAGCGTGTTCAGGCGGCACATGTCAATGCTGAAGCACATGTAAGAGATTTCTGGCAATTTCAGTGAAAGGAACTCGAGCAGCTTGGTAGCCAGTACCATAACTCATCATGTGCCTGACAACCTCAGTTTGTACAGTGCCAGGCAGGCAATAGGTATATCAAGACCCTACCAGTGCTGGGCTAGGTGCCCTATTGACCTTTATTTCCCTTGAGTAGGTCTGACCCTGTTGCACAATGTTTGTATTTAACCTGCTTCTTTCCCCTGAAAACAAATGTATGCAACTAGAATGTACAAAGGGAATGAAAGTGTTGGCATTTGTCTATGGCTGCCAGACAGCAGGTTTCACGTGTTTTTCTTTTATTCTTTCCTCTGGCCACCCTTCTGATTTCCTATTGGAAGATACTTTACTAACATTGAAGACAAAGGATGAGAAGAGATCACAAGAAAATAAAGAACAGATCCCTAATTTAGCAGCCATTTACATTGTACCCTGATCCAGTACTATTATAACAGTATAGCCTCACTTTCATAAAGACATAAATCTCCTCTTTCTTCCATCCATGGGTATCTGACTTGTTTACTAAAGGTAAACATTCTTAATGGGAATTTCTTGCTCCCAGATTAAAAACATGGAAATTTAGACACTAGCCATTACAGCCAAGAATTAGGTTTCATGCAGAAAGTGTACTACCACTGCTAATCCTTCACTTATATACTTAGCAGTATTAGTAGGGTAGTAGTAGTAGGGAAGCCAGTAGTAATAGGAAGTAGTAGTAGTAATAAGGAAGCCAGTGGTGTATAGCGGTTAGAGTGTCAGACTAGAATCTGGGACACTGTGGTTCAAATCCCCAATCTGTCATAGGAGTCAGTCACATGGTCTCAGCTTACCCTACCTCACAGGGTTGTTCTGAAGATAAAATGGAGGAGAGGCAAATGATGTCAGTCCCCACTGGGAAAGAAAGGCAGGGTATAAATGAAGCAAATAAATACATTTGGTTTGATAGCTACATTCAATCACAAAACCTACAATTTATTTGTGATGTGAATGATTCTGAAATCTGACCTTGCATGCTCCTTCCCACCATGCCCCCTACTAAAGAACTGAGGCTGAAAACTTCCTGGTTTAAAAGATCTTCCATCTAACTATAATTTACTGTGATGTTCACACTTGGTCACTTAAAGAAACTAGGGTTTAGAATCCTGCTCTGTGAGCAAGGAACAAATCCCAATTTGTTAAGATGTCTCAATTTGGACATCACAAAAAAAGACTGAAGGCTTGTCATACCAGAAAGAATGTAATGTGCAAGGAGAGAAAGAAGGACACATACGAACCTAACAGTTTTAGGCTTATATAGATCATGAAGAAATTAGAGCTTGCTGATGACATCTGAGTATGCCATTTGTCTCTCTTGTATGTGCTTATATATGAATCAAACTTTGGAGGATTCAAAATCTCAAAACAGCAGATTCTAGCATAGTGGAGTAGGTTTATCTGTGATATTACTAGCTATTTTCAGGACTGTGTGTTGTCCAAGCAACATTCTTTACCCTCAGTGAATTCAGATCAGCAGCCTTTTGACATGACCTGCTAATGAGGTGTAGTCCACATAGTACCCTAGTATCAGTTACCCTCTTTTTCTGTACCACGCTTCACTTCTAGGGAGTTTTGTGAAAAGGCATGTACTCTGTTGAAAGGAAACAGCACTCTCATTTTAAGTCTCATGTTATATCCCTTCTTCCTAGCGAATGTCATGTGCTTTCACCTCCCCCCACTAACAAGGACATTTCCATTGAGGTGCATTAGGGAGGAGCCAGGTTTAAATCCTACTCTTCCATGAACCTCACTGAGTGACCTTGGTCCAGTTATACCCTCAGCTGTACCAAGGGGTTGTTGCAAGGATAAAACGGAAGAAAGAAGAATCCCATGTGCCATCCCGAGGTGTTTAAACAAAGGGTAAGATAGTGGTAAGTGAGCAATATCCTTATACCTTTACAACAATAAGTGCTGTCTCATCTCTATAAAAAAATTAGTCGAACGTCTCTATCAATGGCAGTGCTTGTTGGGAGATAGATATCTGAACCCGGCTGTAGAAACAGGGGATCCTACCTCCTTCCCTTTGCTTGGGCCTCGATTAGGGATGTGATACAGTTCTTCTGATATGCCTGGCATTTGCTGTCCATTTGGGAAAGGGCTCCTATATGGAACAGAATCACATGATAGAATCATATTTGGATTCTCATGTGAAGCAGGTGGGTTGGATACTGCAGAGGAAGAATTATCTCATGCTTTAAACACTGATATTACTTCAAATAGCAACTCTGGCTTAAAAGCACATTATCTACCAATCAATCCCCCCCCCCATTTTCTATGCTCAAACAGCAAATCTCCCTAACAAGTACACTAGAGAATAATTGGTCAGCATCTGCATTGGTTTCTTTTCCTTGATCATTCACTGTTTCAAGGGGTCCAACTATTTATTCCCCTTAACACTGAAATATAGAATGCATATCCATAAATAATGGACAAGGTCTTATATCTGTGCCACACTGATAGGTTCTCTCTTCACTAAGTGATAGTTCATAATTTCCCAATCAAATACTATTTCATCTTCAAAAACCCCACTTTGTATCCTGCGCAATTCTGTTCCTGAGGGCTGATACAGACATTGGGCTGGATCCAGACAAGCTTCCACTCATGCAAGGCACTTCTGTCAGTGGAACAGTGAGTTCCTGCCTCCCCCCCCCCCCAACTGAACTCTCAGAAGTGCTGCTCCTGGGAGTCACAGGACCTTCAGGAACAGCGTGAGGCAAAACTAGGGGTCTGCAGTGGGAAGAGGGAATTGGTAAAATTACTCAGTCCCCTTCTGTTAATGGAAAATTTAGTTTGGATCCAACACATAACACCCTGGTCTCTTAATCTCCACTCTTCGCTTTATGGCCTTAGCAATTTTTAGGGTTATGTCTCTGCCTTTGTTAATCATGGCTGATGTTAACCAGCTCTCAAGTTTTGCACAACTTCTTCCAATCCTGATTAAGTAGTAACCCTAGTAGGCTTTAAAGCATTGTGACAGATGGTACTAACATAAGTAATCATTACTAAGGCTACTGGTAGAAGAGCAAGGGAATTCAACTGACACACAAGATAGAAGTTAGAATGATGAGTTTGTAAATTTATAGACTCACCCTTTCCTTAGTGTCCTTTTTAATAAACTGGTGTTCGCAATTGTTACTTGCCAATCCTTTGGTCAAATATAATGGTAAGTTTTCCCTACTTAAGTTAAACTATTGATGATGATAAGACAAGAGAACCAGGGAGAATGGCTTAATGAAACATGGGATACCAGTGATGTATACTAGGACTGATGTTACTTAACACATGATCAACCTGGAGTCTGAGAAGTGGACAACTATTCAGATGACACTACATCATTCAGGGAATGCTGTACAATGAAATTTCTAAAGGGGATGAATGGGCAACAAAACAGAAGTTATAGTCAAAAGAAGTAAGACAGATAGGG